GTTTTTATTTTTTAAAAAAAAATTAAAAAAAAAATAAATTAACAAAAAAAAATTTGTTAAAGCTTACCTCTGACTCAATGCCTTAAGGATCTGGATCGGTCTACGAAGATAAGTGAATATTAGTTTTTATTTTTAAAAAAAATTAAAAAAAAAATACTAACATAGAACTTATCTCTGATTCAATATCTCAAGGATCCAGATCGATCTATAAAGGTAAGTGAATATTAGTTTTTATTTTTAAAAAAAGTTAAAAAAAAAAAAAAAAAATACTAACAGAGCTTACCTCCGACTCAATACCTTAAGGATCCGGATATTACATCTGGTGATATTAAACCCTATAGAGACAAAGCACATCACGTAAAGTTAAATCGAAACTGATGATGAAACTGAAGGTTATATCATGGCTGATAGAAATAAGAAAGACAAACCTGGAATAGGTAGTAGGAAAAGACGTGGAAAAGAAGAAACTTAAAAGATTCGGATTGGTCTACAAAGGTAAGTTTAATATTAATTGATTTTTATTATTAACAAAAATTCTCCATTAGAACTTACCTCTGATCGATTCCAATCTAGGGCTTCAAGAATCTGGACTGTCCTACAAAGGTAAGCTTAGTGTTAGTTTTTTTAATGTTATAAAAAAAGAAACTAACAAATTTCTCCAATAGAGACTTACCTCTGATCTAAGATTCTAAGGTTTATAGATTCCAGATCGGTAAGTGAATATAAGCTTATTTTAAAAAATTAAAAAAAAAAAAAATATTAACAAAAATTCTGTTAGAACTTACCTCTGTCAATGTTTCTAGGATCCGGATTGGTCTACAAAGGTAAGTAGTATATTATTAGTATTAATGTTGTTAGCCTTTTTAAATAATAAAAAAAATTTATTAACAAATTATTCTTTAGAACTTACCTCCAATTTGACTTCAGAATTTCAAGGTTTAGGTTCATTTCACAAGGTAATTCTAGTTTTTTTTTTTTTTTTAAAAAAAAAAAAACGTTATTATTTTTAAATAACTTACTCTAATCAAACTTCAGATCAGAGTCCTAAAAAAATAAATTCTAAAAAAAAAAATAATATACAGTATGACAAAAGTCTGGACATTTGATCGTCTGAATAAAGTTAGTATAGCAGAATACAAACCACACGTGATTTTGCGAGATGATATATAAATAAGATCTTTTTTTAATTATTTGTCACCGAATTAATTTTTTTTTTCTAACGATGGGTGACCAAAATATAACTAAATCACGTAATTTATACGTAAAGTTGTAAAACATTTTTGGGATAAAGAAATTATAAGTGCAAGTGTAATTTAAAAAAAAACAAACATTCCAAGGTCTACGATTTATTATAATATCAATAAACTTAAAAAAACTGGATCTCAATTCTGTAGAAACTTGTGGAGTATCGTAAAAGGAAATGTAGAAAAACAACAATCAAAAAATTTAGCAGAATTAGAACAATTTAAGATGGAAGAATGGAATGATATTCTAAATGTGATTCTTATTAATTTAATATATTCTATGAGAGAACGATGTAAACTTATAATAAAAAAAATTGGGGAAAGAATTTCTTATTAACTTTTAAAAATATAATTTTGTACTTTTAATCGATTAAATAAACTAGTTTGTGATTTGGATAATCTGTTGCTGCGTAATAAGTAAATCAATTTGTCCAAAAACTTTTTTAATACACTGTATATATTATTTAAAATTTTATAATTATTATTTATAATTAATATTTAAAATTATTTCTTAAAAATTTGTAATTAATTATATTTCAAGTTATAGCTAATTATAACTTATATTTTAAATTGCAACATTTTCTAAATTATAACACATGTTATAATTATTAAAGAATTTATATAATGTTGCAACATAATGTTGCAACGTTAAATGTTGCAACATTTTAATTATGGTATCTATCTTTATATCTTTATTAATCACCTAATAGAATTCTATAGTGTTTAATGTATTTCATAAAAATTGAATATTAAAATTCAAATACAGTAAAAAATTGAACATAAATTAATAAATTATAATTTTATAAGTTTTATTATCTAAAATTATATTCAGACTAGAACAGTTATCATTCTTTAGTTATATATATATTATAAAGTTATATAAAATTTTAAATGTATATAATTAATTTCTTGAATAAAAAATATTCAAATAGCCTTATTAATCTTAAAATTTTTACTACTTATTATTTATTCAATTAATAAAATTAATATATATAGTTTATTATTATGATTCTTTTACTAATAAAACTTTTTTTGAGGTTTTTAAAATTTTATATCTACATATATAAATTTTATAAATATATTTAAATAAAGAATTTATTTTATATTGATTTAATAAAAATATTTAGAAAGATTAAAGATAATGCTATAACTAATTATAATAGATAATAAATAAGTATTATAGAATTACAATAATTGCAATATTATCTTTAAGAAAAATATTTAAATAAACTTATTTTTTTTAGTTTAGTACTTATATATAAATTAATATAATATCATTTTTAATATTTAAATATTATTGTATAATAAACTTTTTAATATAAAAAAATTTAATATTAAAATTTAAAATTAAAATTAAAATTGTTAATTAATAATTGATATAAGTAATTTGAATAATTAATAATTAATTTAAAATAGTTAACAATTTAAATTATTTTATAGCTTAAAGTTATATAATAAAATAACTAATCTAATAGTTAATACTTTTATTATTTCTTAAGAATTAACTTTTTATTAATAAGATAAATATTTAATTAATATATATTTTTTATTCATTAAATTCATATAAATATAATAGAATTTTTATCATAGAATATTAATCCAATTTTTTTTAACAAATTATTTAAAATATTTATTTTTGATTTAAGTTCTTATTTAAATAATATAAGAAAAAATATAAATATTTAATTCAAATATATTGTTAATATTATATATTTTTATTTATTTGATTATTTATATCAATTTATATTTAAAATTTATTTTATATAATATATAATATATAATATTTATATAAAATAGTTTTAATAAATATTATAAATATTAAAATTTTTATATTGTTACTATTTAAATTCTCATTTTTATTATAAATTAATGAAATAATTAATAGAAAAATCAAATTTAAGAAATTTTTTAATAAAATTTTGAATTTTATTACATTTTAGCTTTTAAAATTATTAGAATAAATATAATAAGGTCTTGATTTATTTAAAAGATTTTTTAAAATCTGATTTTTTTAGTAATTTTTCTAATATACTTATATAGCTTATTTTATAATATATATTAAATTAATTACTTTTTGACAATATGTATTATATATGTAAAATTTAAATGATAATAATTATTATTTATATTAAAGTTGAATTTATTTAATTTATTTTTTTTTATTTTTTTATAAAATGAGTATAATCATATTAAAAAATTTAAAAGAATTTTATTTAAAATAAAATTAGATTTTAAAAATATTATATAAAGAATAATTTAATAAAAAAAACTATAATATAATCATATTTATTTATTAATTGTATTATAAAATTTATAGGTTATTATATAAAATTTAATTTTAAAATCTATAATATTATCAAATTTTGAGAATTATAAATTCTTTTTTAAGTTTTTTATATAAAATAAAATCAGCCTTTTAAATTTAATTTTAAACTTAATAAAAGTTATAAAAAAAAAAAAATAAAAATATATAAATTAAAAATTCAAATTTATACAATTATTATATAAAGATATAATTCAAATTTAACATTAAAAGTTATAATAATTGTAAAGTAAAATATGTAATAATTCAGAAATAAAAGATGTATATATAGAAAAAATAATTATTTATATATTTTATTATCATCATATATTTTAATATTTTAATTATATTTAAAAAAAATAATATATATTAATTCTATATTTTATATTTTTACAAATATTTTAAATTTTTAATTTATTAAATTAGATTTTTTAAAAGTTTTAAAATCTGTTTTTAAATATATAAATAAATCAAATATAAATTATATCATTAAAATAAGAAATAAAATAGTTTAATTAAATTTAAATTAATAATCTAATTATATAATAGTATGATATATTTTTTAATTATATATTTTTTATATAAAATTTAAAAAAATAAGAATTTTTAATAAATTTTAATTTTTTCATTAATTTTTTAATTTAATTGTTTTTAAATTTTTATATTATTTATTTTTAATGATATTTATCAGGTTATATTATGATATTATAATAGAATAAAATCCTAATAGGATATTTTCTTGATAATTTAACTAATATTATATAAAGTTATATATGTGTATATAATAAATTGATCAGTGTTAGGTTATTGTAATTTTATCTAGTTAAAATATTATTTAATATGAATTTATTAACCTTATTTTAATATATAACTTAAAAATATAAAAACCTTATAAGATCTTTAATTTAATTTAATTTAATTTTATTTAAATTTAAAATAACTTATTGAAAGTTAGGTAAAGATATTTATTATAAAAGATAGCTTAATTACAATTATATTAAAATTCAAAAAAATTATTCAGAATAAGCATTCTTTAATTATTTTATATATTAAAAAATTCAAGTATAAAATATAATAAATCACTATTCTTTTGATTATATTTTTAAAGCTTTTCTTTAAATACTATTATAATATATAATATATAAATCTAAGTATTTTTATACTAATATTCTAATATATCAAAATAATAATTTTATAATTTTATATTGTATTAGGTTTTAATATTAATAAAATGATTATATTTATTATTAAAAATATATGAAATTTTAAATTAAAAATTAATGCAAACTAAAAAATATAATCATCAGGATTGTTCAACCTAATTTAATTAACATATAATTCTTTACAAAAGAACTGATCATTTAATTAAAGAAGATAATAACTTTACTAGTAAATAGCTAATTAAACATTTTAAATATATTAAAGTTATTAAAGAACTTGTTAAATTTGGTTAATCAAAGCCATAATGCTTGTTTAACTTTGAATCCCACTTTAGTCATGATTCCAGTATTCTTATTTGCTTCCTCCAAACTAATAAAAATTTAAGTTAGGTAAAAAAAAAAAAAAAAAGAGAATATCCCATTAAAACGAATTAACGATATAATAAAACCATACCTTATAATAGGTCTTTCAATAACAAAATCAACATCATCGGCATTACCTATTTCATAACAAGCTTTAACAATTTCATCGACTACTTCATTAACAGCTTGTTGACTTGTTTTTTGTTCTTTTTGTCCGCTTCCTCCAACAAATTTTGTTGCCTCACCAACCAAATTACTTCTAAATGCTTTAAATGCCATAAATTTTTTTGTTTCCGAATCATTATTGTTCTTATAATTATTATTTCTTATACTACCCGAATTTGTTCTACTTGACTCGCCTGACGCTCTATAATATATTATGAAACCATAATTATCTTCGACTGACACACATGATGGATACAATGTAGATAAAATGTACTCTCCTATAAAATAAATAAAAATTATTATAAAAATTTTAAGAAATAGCAAACAATATTTTGGAGAAATTACCTTTTTCAACTGAAGTGATTTCACCTAATCCAATTCGCTTAAATTGCATAACTTTTTCCAAACGATAATGAAACGTGCAAATATATAATGCCTTTTTAGTTAAAAGCAATACCTTTTCTTCATAAGACTTGCCTCGACTAAATAATAAAGATAAATGAACTATCAGAAACAAAAATCTTTGCTTATCAAGCAAAAATAGGAACTTTTATATTCATACAGCGTATTTTGTTCAGTGGGCGATAAAAATGTCCAGCCATTAATCTTTTCCTCATTATCAACAATGACAATAAAACTACTAATTTCAACTATTAGTATAAATTTCATTATTAGCCTTTAAACTTGATAATATATCTATGCGAAATGCAAAATAAATATCACAACATACTTGCAGTAGCTCTAACTTTTGCCCATCTTTCTGCTTCTCCAGGTTGTGATGCTTCAAATTTCTGTTGAAGTTCCTGAAAAACTTCAATTGAATGATTACCCAATATATAATCAATCGTGGCCTATTACATATAATAAAAAGATATTACATAAGGTTTAAGAAGGAAATTTTCTGTCTTCAAATTTTCTTACCTGTCTAAAGAAATCTTTAAACGTATTCTGAAACATACGGGCCAAAGAATTAGATGCATCGTTAACGACGCCTTGTAAATTTCTTTTTCCTAACGAAATTGAAGAAATATATTAAAATGGAACAATAATAACAGAAATATATGTAGTTAACTTACCAGTTCTATAAATAAAATTAATCAAAAAAAAAGAGACAATAATTAATCACCGACAACCGCAAACGCAAAAACATCAACATCAACATCAACATCGACATCGACATCATTAACCACAACCACAACAGCATCTGCACAATTAAACTTTTTTATCAAGTTAACTCACCTAGTAAAATCCCCTTTTAGTGCACTGGTTCCAGCGTATTCTCTACTTATAGAATCTCCATTATTTGCCCAGACTATAAATTAATAAATACCAATATTAATAACATAAAATGACATCTTTTAAATTTATAGTTTTTATTTTACCATCATTAAAAATATTTTCAAATTGCTCATAATGAGAAAATCCGCCATCAATAAATTCAGAAATTCCTAATCTAAGCATTTGAAGATTTAAAACTTCCCTAGCGAGAGCACTCTGATAAAGATTATATTAATAAAATAAATATATTTGATGCGCCTCAAAAATTATAAAATCGGCTTGTAATCACATACCTGCACAACGTTTGTCCTATCTAAACAATCCATACAATTCTGAATTATCAAAATACGAATTAAAATAAATTTCACAAAAAATTAAATAAAATAAAATAATTTTTTAGAAAATATGATATCGAACTGTACGAAAGATTCCTGCTTGTTTGCAATGAATTTCTGCTTCATTTGTCGTTTTACTAGCTTGCCAAAAGTAACTTAAATAAAATAACGATAATAAAAAAACCTTTAGTAAAGAATTTTTTTTTTTAAAAAAAAAAAAAGACGACCTTAATTTACCCAATTTTACTGAAATTGCGCTCAAGTATTTCAACAAGTTTTAAAATATTTTCATATCTCATTCCTTTACATTCTTTATGAAAATCAAATTCAATATATCTAAAATAAAATTTGGTTAATATAAACCTTTTTTCTCTAAATCCTAAACGTTAGGCAACACATACTCGATATTTGTATCGTCTTTGTAACTATTAATTGCTTCGCGGTAAGCTCTTCCAACAATAGCTTCACGATTAATTGTTTCTGTTAAATTAATACAATTTATGTTTCCATACATTCCAATTAATTTATCAAAATGTTTTTTAAATGCTAACGAATTGTCATCATCAGAACGTTCTAATACAGGTTTCGGCTTAAGACCATAAGGTGATTGCGACCAAAATAATGGAACTTTTTTTTTTATAAAAAATATATATATTATATATATAATTAGTATTGTTCTAAAGTTATCGAATCGTAGTCAGGATTTTAACTCACTCGAGCCACGAATTTGTAAAAATGATACTACGTGACTAATTTCTTCAATCTAAAAAGTAAATAACATTATAACTAAGTGAATTAATATAAATATCTTTTAAGCAAAATTCGAACCTCAATTGAAAGTATTTGCTCAGTTTCAACAAAATTCGCCACATCACCATCTTCATTGATTCCTCTACGTTGGTATCGCAAACCTATCAATTATATCAAAATGTTGAAAAAAACATAATTATAATTAATTATTATTTTTGTAGAATTAAATAATGCTTACCCGCTCTTTCACGACTCCTTCGAGAAATTAATATAAAATCAAATGATCGTTCATCAATCTGACATTTCTCAATTTGAACATAACCTTGCATTATGGGTAATATCCAACCATCAAGCTTTTTGATGTTCAAAAAAAAAATTTAATATATAAATTAAATAAATATCGATCCCGGAAATTTCTATCTACCTCAAGTTCAATAAATCCTTTAAGCATATGTTCATTCCACCAAAACTTCTTATCTGCCTGTATGAAAGCCGTTTTAATATAACATAAATAGGGCAAATATAATCGTTTTTAAAAGAATTCTAACCTGTTTCCAAAGAGGTAGGTCTTCTTTAAATCCCTTTTCATGTTTTTGTTGTAAAGATCTTGTAATATCTAACAATGAAAAAGAAAAAAATCAAATATGATAATTAATAAATTAACGAAAAAAAAAAAAAAATAATAAAAATAAAAATAGTTACCAAGTTCATAAGAATAGAAAAACGCATCGCGAAAGAATGATGCAATTTCTCTAGCAACTCTTGCATCCATTACCTAGAATAAAAATAGTTTTATTAATGAGGATTTTTTTTTTAATAAAATAAAATAAAATAAATCTTTTAACCAACTTTGTTATCTATGGGATCCTTTATATTAATCGTTTTTGTAGATCCATAATCGCTAGTAAAACCATCCCAAACCTCACTAACTCTTTTTGCAGCAGTGGATAAAGGTGACAATTTACCTGGACTTTTTGAAATATCGATATTATTATCACCTGTACTAATAAGTGTACTTTCATTAGTAGTGCTAACCGATGTAAACCCTCCTTCTTTATCGTCATATTCAGAATCCGAACCATTTGAAGATAATGATGGAGATCTTCTTCTATTTAATTCGGCAATTGCTGATTTCATTTTGGATAATAAAGATTGTTGCCTTTTATTTGATTGTGATTCTGGTGATGATGACGGTTTAGGAGGCGGGGGTATAATTGAAATTGATAAAGGTGATGGTGAATCTAAAATTGTTGAAGTTGATGGCAGACTATTTGTCGCTTCCTCTACATCAGTTTCTGTTATTGTGTTAGAAACGTATCTTTTATGCCCTTCCCCTAAATCTTCAAGAAATATATCGGCAGTCACTTGATCTTCTCCATCAACAGGCCAATGCTAAGATTTTTTTTAAAAAACAATATATATATATATTAAATCATTGTACAATAATTGTATACCACGTACAGGTATTGGGACTATGCGTTACTAATATAATTAATATAATGTCGATCAACATAATAATATTAACAATTATCAGTAAAAGTATAAAAAAATCGGTCGCATAGTCCTCATAGACTGTATAATAATAAAGAGTTAAAAAATTCTTAACCTACATGTTTATCAAGGATTTTTAAAGCGTCTTCATAATTCAAAGGTAGGACCGCTACTCTTTTAATCATGTAAACAGATTTACCCTGAATTTTACCAAGGTCCTTTCTATCTGTAATAACTATTATGTATTGTGCTATAATAAATCAAAATTACATTATTTACTTAATAGAACTAACTAATCAAAATCCAATTAGAAAAACAATTTTAAATACTAACCTGATAATAGCCTTAGCATTCCTACTACGCCAAATAAACAATAATACTTTGCGTCCTGAGAAGGATCATGTTTATCTTACAAAGATCAAATTAAATCAGTTTATTAAAATTAACTAGATTTCCTCCATATAGAAACTTTTTCTTAAAATAGATAAAAAAAATATATACCTTTCCTAGTGATATTTCCAGTTTTCAATTCAATTTCCAAAAAATCCTTTCCTGCAATTAGGACAAAAACATTTTTATCAATTACTAAAGTAATTTTTTTATGAAGTGGTTGTATTGGGATAGCTGGGATAACAGGAGTGACAACTGGCTTTGGTGGTCTCGAAGTTGCTTTTTTGAGTAAAAACATTATAATATTAAAATATTAATTAATTATATGGGGCGTGAAATTGAGGAAAGAAATTTCTATTTTCTTCGAATTTCTCTACTGCTTAAATTGTAAATTGCATAACACGAATTACACGAAAACTTTTTAGCTAAAATAGGAAACATACATTAATTTCCCATTTTTTCTAATGACGTAATATAGAACAATGATGTAATATAGAACATTGACGTAATTGAGTAATTTGCTTGTGTACTATCTTGAAGCGATAGGAGCGATAGGAAGACTTACATTCAATAGTGCTGGAATAATGTAAGATTTCTCCGACTAATGATTTATAACTAACAGGAAAAGGATTATTGTCATGTTTCCACGAAGGAAAATAATTATTTTTAGAAATTCTTGTCAGTTAAACTAAATTCTTCATACTATATAATACGCTACGCTATTTCGTTAAGATATCCCCTCTTGCAATGGTATGAAGATTTACCAAATTTTCGGAGTTTAACTTTTTTTGCTGTGCCATAAAATTGGGGAAAACGACAAGATCGATCATATTTGACAAATTCGTTATTTTGATCATTGTCCCAATATATAATTTGTCAAAGTTCTCTGAAAATTATTGATCATAATAAACATAGATAACATTATCCAACATTTTAGACTCATAAATTTTTTTGCCTGGCAATACTTTGGGTTTATATATATATGTTTGTGGGTGGGTGTGTGTCAAAAGTCAAAACTATATTTAAGTTCTATTAACAAATTTGGGTTTGACTTTTACCATTGACCAGGCAACTATTTGTCGTTTAACGCTGACATCGCTGAGAAAACTAAAATCCAAAAGATCCGGTGAGTAAAAATATATTTATTTAATTATTTAATGATGTAAGAAGCGTGTAAACAAATATTCGTCATGATGAAATTTGAATGAAATTGACTAAACTGACTTAATGTGAATTTCGCGTGATTAAAATGTGATAAACATAAAAACGGCAAAAATTTTGATATTTGATTGTTTTATTATCAATAATAAGTGAAGAAATAATTAAAGTTGTTGAATTTACTCAAAGGATTCTACCCTAAAACCACCCACTCTCTCAATGCTTTAGCTCTTTTCTATTGGAGAATATTAACTTTTACGATCACTTCCACTAACTTTTTTTAACACCTCGACAAAGTTCTGCATCTGAAATATAGCGGTTGATAATCGGCTTTTTTCTTTTTTACAATAAATCCTTTCCCAGCACACCATTACATTTTTGTGTGTTGGAAAAGTCGAGATAATTTATTTTTCTCTATTTTTAAGAGAAAATTAAATTACGCATTCTTTTGGATTGCTTTGAGACCAAGAAACCAAGATTTATGGTCCTCACAGAACGGAATTGAAATATGGAATATGGAATGATACTAATAATTGTTGGAATGCTTTCTAAGTATTGGGATAGATTGTAGTGTCATTTTTTGCATACTCTTCCTTTTCTTTTGTCACGACGGTTGGAAGTCGGCTTGATTAATTTTATTCGCCACTCATATGTATCACGGTGTATCTGGCAACAGGAACTTTCCAAATGGCTGCAAAATTTTTTTTTTTACGCACACATATATATATTTACAATTCCATTTAAACAGTCCGAAGGGAAAAATGCACATTGGGGACAAACGCATATCCAAAACGTTCTTCACATTTGAGACAACTGTAATATTTCGGACATTAACGCCACACTGTTCAAAGGATGTTTTTCCAAAAATTTATTATAAATATAAATAAATAAAAAAACAAAACAAAAAATTATAATGCAAAAATAGGTAAATCAGTTTTCTGCGCATTAGTGCGAGATCAGGTATCACTGGTATCTTTCTTACAATGTCATTTTCCATCTGATCACATTCCTCTTTGTTACTTTCCTATCAAAATTCTTTATAATCTGCAATTCTTTGCTAAAAATTAAAAAATATTAATTATGTAACATTACTTAAAACTTTGTAATACTTACCATATTTCTTCTCACTTGTATTTTCATAATTTTGAAGCTTTTCTTGAATCCAGCCCAATTTTTCCTAAAATACGAAACATAATAGTAAATTATTCATCATTGTAAATTGTTTTAAATAAATTATCAAAGCATTGCTTCATAAAAAATAATACTTTTTTTTTTTTACCAATGAATATTAATTATGCTAATTGGAATACTTGAGCTTTTCCAAATATATAAAAACAAAGCTTCTTTTATTTAAAAGGTTAAAAGATTACCAGTCAGTATGCATGTCCATTTTACAATGCCGATCATAATTAAAAAATTTTGTGTAACCTTCGTCTGAAAAGTCCTTTCTATGTAAAATATTTCAAGTCGCATTATTAATGCATTCAATTTTTTAATACATTTTTTTGTCAGCATTTCTTCTATTCAAAAGTAGTGAAGTTTTACCTTTCCAATTTTTTTATAACATTTTATTCTACCAGCAATTCCGCCTAGTTTTTGATGTTAAAACTTCAGATTCTTTTGCTATTAGTTTTTAAGCCAAAAAAAAGTACCAAATGTTCTTTGCCTTTAACGAACCTTTTGGTAGAATCATTTTACCAAACTATATGCAATAACACTTTTTGATGAAAAATAGCTTTTATTTTTTCATATAATAAGAACAAATATATCAAAGCTGAATTTTTCTTGACAAAACACAATAAAAAATTAGCTATTTATTTTTTATTATTTCTATGGCGAAATATATATTGATAGATTCGATTTTTATCCCATTCATTCCCCAATGCTTCTTTAACTTGATTTAATTGATTACTAGTTGGATATTCGGAACAAGTTATTAATGGTTCTAAGAGCTTTTTTTCTTCAGGTTTGGTTTCACGACGAGTTTGTCTCTGCTTTTTTCTTGGCAGTTCACTTTGATTTACTAAGTTTTTTGAATTGATTGGTATTTGTTGATCAGATGTTGATATAACAGTAATTTTGGAAGATTTCTTTTTTTTGAGTTCTGGTCATTAGGTTTCCATCTGGTAACTCCTAACTTTCTTCTTCCAACTTTATTACCTTTTTGTTTTGAAATAACATCTTGTAAAAAAATTGTTTCTATTCTTAGAATCCCATCAGGAAAACAATTACTAAGACATGCAATACTGGCGGCTGTAAACTGATTGGAAGAAGTAGTACTCCATAAAGGGTTTGATAATGGTTATAATCATCCGAATGGCAAAATGCTTTTAAAAGTTCATATACTAGATTCTACATAACTGTTTTATGAGTATCCATAGCTCTTTGTTCAATTGATCCACAAGGATCATTAAGATACTCTGATAATAAAATTCCTATACGATCTCGTTCGCTCTGGGTAAATTTGACTTGCAATTTTAGATTATTCACATCAACTACATTTCTGGTAATATTCTGCTTTATAAATTTAATTCCAAATGTTTTAAGCGTCTCATCAAATGCAAAATAATGACCTTTTCGTTTTTCTTCATTATCAATTTTAATTGATGCAGTACATTTCAGTTTCTCCTCAAGTTTTGGATATTGAGCTAATATTCCAAGGTATTGTGCAATTGATACTGAATAATTTGATTTTCCTGCTGATGCAAATAAACCTGCAAAACAAGATAAAGCATTTTTTTGTAATTGGTAATTTCTAACACAAATTCCAATATGATGTGCTTTGAAAATTGATGCCCATTTATAATAATAATACCATATTTGTAAAACAGTATTAGCATTACTATTCGAATCTACAATATTATCTTTATTGAAATTTGTCTTTTTCATATAAATACGAATAGCAATAGTTACTGCATACCATATTAGTTCTAGAACACAAACTGTAGAACAATAATCAACAACTTTATCTAATTTGTCTAAAAATTTAACTCCTAATGTTTTTGTTAGATCAAAAAGTCCATATCTCGAAAATAATACAATTAGAACTCCACACATATCCTTTGAAGTATGCTATTGACCAAGAATAGGACGTAAGTTTGATCATTGTTCTCTTTGTTTAATAAGTCTTCTAAAGCTTGCTTCATCAACTACCACATCCAAGTAGTCATGTGATTTTAATTCAAAATCTTCTTTATACATTTCTGAAAAATTCCTTCATCTGAATTCAGGATTTCACCTATTTCCAATATGATTATATTAGGTATATCGACTGAGCAACTATAGTTGATATTTTTGGTGAATAATTATCATATTAAAGTTTGTGTCATAAATAATTTCTCCTTTAGAATCTGTTTGAAAATTTAGGAGATTATCAATAATCTCATCAAACATATCCTATGTGTTTTTCATTAAATCATTCATACCAAAAAGACCTAATGATAAAGTAATTTTTTTTTATTATCTGCTTTTTCTTCTAAAAATATTGGCATTTGCATTTGAAATACCATTCTGAGTGTTAGATGAGAACTTTTACAAGTTATATCAAATATATTTCTATAAATAAAAGTTTTGTCTTTAAAGTTTATATTATTTATAATAGCCAAATTCCATATATTTGACTTTTTTAATAATCTTTCATTTGGATTAATTTTATCCATTCGATGTTTTCTATTTGGGTTTCATGATCATCAGTATGACCACTTATATGAAGAGTAGATAATAGTCATCAGAATAATGAAAAAAGCTGTGATTTATGAGACATACTAGCCATTACTTGAGTAAACTAAACGTCAAGATAAGGAAATGCTATGCTCACAATAAGCAAAACAATAAATGTTACACATTTGGTAATATGTTCATTATCTAGTTGTTTTAAAGATTTGTCATGCTATTTTTGTTTTTTATTTAAAATCATTAATTTTTTTTAAAAATTTCGTCGATTAATCTATCAAAAAATCCCGTTAAAAATTTTAGAAAACTTGCATGATATGCATTGAGAGAGACAGGTAATTGTATTTCTGATTTTCTTTCTGTGACTATTTGTGTAAATCCCATACTTTATTTCCTAATATTTCTCTAACTTTTTTCCATTTATTTTCTGTCCATTCTAATTTTAGATGTATAATATCAATTATATGATTTATGTTTAATAATAATTTCAAAAAAAAAAATAATTAAGCAATTTGGATAAAATTCTAACTAAAAAACTAGTTGAATCATTAAATTTGTAGTATTTGTATTAATAAATTCATTAGGATTTGAGTAATGTGTATTATTCTTAGGATTATAATATTTGTATTTTAAAGGAATTTTAGATGAAATAAATAAAAATTTAAGGTTAGAACTAATATAAAAGCAAGAATTATTTTCTTTTTTTCTTCTGTTTTAGTACTAGCTATATAAGTGAGTCATTGACCCAATAATTTTAAATTTTTGGATATATCATCTTTATGTAACTCACGTTGTTTACAAGTAAATTTCATTTGCCAGTTCCAGATCGATGATTCAAATACCTACTATGAGATTTATAGTAATTATAACAAATATATCGAACTGTTGAAACATCGTTAAAAATTCATTTAAAAATATCTTAGCATTCATGTATTGCATTACATGAATAAAGACCAATACACAGAATTTAAATATATTTATCCTATATTCTTTATAAATGATCTTTACACCTAGCTCCATGACTAAAGAAATAAAATTCTTAAAATATAATAAACAACATCAGCGGCAAATTTTACTCTGTTCAGGACTTCGCAATTGTTTTGTATATGCATTATGATTTTTTGATCATAATTAAAATGATTCATATATACCCCTAATGATATTCCTTTTAATTCAAATCTTAATATCGCATCCTCATCAATTTGCTAAGTTCTAACTAACTGACATATATTTCTAACATTCTCAGTTTGATCACACATTTGTAATTTATTATCTAAATAGTCAATTAGAACACATAGTGAAAAATTAGCTTTTACAGTCAGATTAGATTTATATACAGGCTCGTTCATTTCTTCAATTAGTATTGAGGATAAAGGAACTTCTTGGTTTTTTGAATTTGCATCAAAGTCTTCCTCATTTTCATCATTTAACTGGTCTATAAATTCTCGTTCAAGTGCTATTTGTACTTTAATATAATTTTTTTCACTAAATTTAAATAATTGTAATTTAGGAAGTTCAACAAAAAATTCTGAAGTTGTATCAAATTTATTATCAGATTGTTCTAAATATAAATCCTGACTATTGTTAAAATGTAAAAAGAAATGTTTCTCAAAATTTTCTTCATTTATTACATACGTTTTCATTTTAATAAATTGAATTTTATATCAACTTCAACGCTAAGATTCTTTTAAACAAAAAGGGTATTAAACGCAAAAGATGAAATATTACTAATAATACATCAAATTATAAGCCTGACCATTTTGTATTACATGATACAATGCATTATTTTAGTATATTATAATTGAAAATTATGAAAATATTATATTGTTCTATATGTATTTGAATTTTTATTATAAAATGCGACTTGCAGATCTCTTAATTAAAAATGTTATACAAGATGATCAGGGAACATGCATTCTGACTGTTACAGAGATTTTTATATTTGTATAATATTTATATAAAAAAAAAGGATTTATTTATTAATTTAAAAGCTTTAAAATAATAAAGCAAAAATTGTTCTAATATTATCTATTAGTATATATTTTTTGTCATAAAAAATAGTCCAACTTTTTTCACTTAAATTTTCAAAATAATTAACCTATTTTCAGTTATATAAATTATTTTATAATATTATTAATAATAGTCTAAATAAATTAAAACATTAATAATAAATAATAGTAATATAATAATAGTAATACAATATATTATAAATATATTATAAATATAAAATTTATTTTTTTATAAATATTTTATCTGAATTTCTATCTTAATATATTATATGCTTTTAAACTGTTTTTTAATTACCTTTTATTTTACTAATAATCATTTGATTTTTTTATTTAATTTATATATTATTATATTATTCTTTCTAAAAATTTATAATCTTATTTTTATCTATTTTATTTTTTTAAATATAAATAATAATAATTTTAATTAAATAAAAACAAATGAAAAAAAAATAATTAACATTTAGATAATAAAACTATTTTTTCAATTATTTAAATAATTAATTTTAAGCATACTTTACTTCATTTTCTTAATCATGAAAAATTAGATATTAGTTCAATATTATATTACTTACTGCTTAAGATTAAATTACTAAATATTATTTAGTTTTATAAAAATTTTTGTATTTTTAAATTTTATATTTTATATAAAAATGATATTTATAAAAAAAAGATATAAATTAAAAAAGAGTTTAATAAATTTGTATATATATAATTAATAAAAATTGAATTATTATAATATTAATTTTTAATAATTAAAATATATAATTAAACATATAATATTAAAAAAAATTATATATATTTAAAGTTGCTAGATAAAATTTAGAAGTTTTACAAATCGTCTAAATATTAAAGATAAAATTTTACAAAATTCAAAAACGTAAAATTATTTTAAAATATAAAATAGTGAAATTATATCAAAATCTTAGTAAAAATTAGTAAAATTAAAGATTTAGACATTTTGTCAAATTCAAAATAAGTTTAAATAAACATCCTTATATATATTACAATTAAAAAAATTTATTATATTATTTTTATTATGTTATGAAGTTTTATTAAATTATATAATAAATATTTTTAATTATATTTTTCTCATATTTATTATAAAAGATTTAATTTTTAATTTACTATTAATTACTAAATATATTTTAAATATAAATAATAATTATATACATATTTGATAAATATATTTCTATTTTTTAATTTTAAAGATAAAAAATTCTAATTTTTATTTTCTTATTTAAATTATATTACAATATATTTAAATATAAAAATTAAATAATAAAATTAATTTATATATTATAATTATTAATAATATATTATTAAGTAATAGGATATTAATATTGTATTTTAATAATATCATATTTTTATTTCAATAAATTTGAATAGGACATGTGAGCTATTTTCTATTTATAAATAAATTTAATTATATAATTTTATTAGTTTAAAATTTATAATATTATTTAAGTAATATTATAATAATTGCTTTATTGGTCAAAATTTAAAATTTTTATAGTATTGTAAATAAATATTAAGATTATTTATAACTGAATAATATTTTAAGTATATTATTATATACTTTAATATATAGACTTTTGCAATAGAAAAGGTGAAAATAGCCAGAAAAATCAATTTTATTTTTATATATCAAATATTATTTTTAGATCAAAATATATAAAAAATATGTTCAGATTTAATATTAACTCATTTTTTATTTTTCTGACTATTTTTACTTTTCTATTGCAAAGGTTCTATATATTTCTAATTTTTTAATTTTTTATAAATAAATTTTTTAAATAAGTTTAATTTAAAATTCTAATAAAATAAACTATCTACTTAAAATGTATCATTTCTAAGAATTTATAAAATATTTACACAAACTTATTATAAATAGATTCTTCAATTTTCTTATAAAATAAAATCTATATATTTCTATATAAAATATCTTGATGTATATCTGCTTAATAATTGAGTTGATGCTGATTAACCTTTGCAATATAATATAAAAGTTTAAATAAAATAAACAGTATAAATTTTTTTAGTTAAAATCATTTCAAACTTAACAACAATTCTTATTTTCTAATTAATTTAAAATAAATTATATAGTAAATAAAACTAATATGATTTTAATCTCTTCTTAAAAATAAAATTTAGTATTTATATAAAGAAAAATGTTATATCAAAAATAATTAATCTAATATCATCCAAGTTGAAAATTATTTAAAATATATATAATTTTAAAATTTTAGTATATAGAAAATCAACTTAAAGTTTGCAATTTTTATTAGAAAAAAATACAATGTTATATTGAAAAAAAGAATATCAAATATAAAAAAAATTATGTAAAAAGTTACTAATAATATACTATTCTACTATAAAAATGATTTATATAAATCTAAGTCATAATAATTGTTTGTTTATAAATCCAATCCTAATAAATAAATAAATCATAATATTTTTAATCAAACTTGAATAATCGGCATATGCAACAAACCTTTTGTCATAATCATTGTAATCTATAAACACATCTTGGTAAATAAATGAATCTCATACTATTATGATTAATTTAGTTAGTTAGTATTGCAATTATATTCTATAATTATAGGTTAATAAAATATATTTACTGTCAATAATATAGGTTAATAAAATATATTTACTGTCAATAGTAATATAGGTTAATTTAATATATATATAATAATGAAGCCAGCCAGCCCTTTTTCATTTCCTGAAAAAATAATCACATAAAATTATATTAGAATATTAGAAGACGAACGAACATTTCGACATTGTATTAGAAGCTGATGAATATCTTATTATAAATTCCTCGCAAAAGCATCAAAATTATTTAGATTAAGTGTATTTCACAATAATTGATAATATATTCTTGTAATGAATATATTGTATTTTAAGTGCACAAAAAAAAATATATATATATATAAAAACTCAAATACCTACATTTTATTTATTTCGCAAGCAAGGAAATGACAGATAGTGATGATTACGCAAGGATGATAAGATTACTTACTACACATGGATTATTTTTTTATTATACTCATTAGCTTCAAATGAAAATATTTTAGTTTGTTATAATTTATGGGTGATTTATAGGGTTGGGAACGTGTTATACTACTTATTTGAGATCGTGCGACTTGGACCCGATATAACAAAGAAAAAGTCTTTGATTATCTTCCGAAGATATAAAAGACTAAAATCTTAAAAAAAAAAAAAAAAAAAAACCCTCCTCCAAGAGAAAAAATAAAAATAAAATAAAATAAAAATACCTTAAGAAAAAGATAAAAAAAGGGAACCGAAACACAATACGTAACTTAGAATCCTTAGAAACCTCCGGTGAAATGAAATGCTAAAAGAGCTACAACCTCTACTGGATGAAAAATAACAGTCCTTGAAAAAAATCCCGTCGAATATTTCCTTTTTTTTTGTTGTAACAAACACCCGCTCTGGAACTCGAATCTCCAAGTCGGTAGATAATTATAAGAAATATTGTGTAAAGAGTAATAATAGTCAGGAAAACTTTCAGAGGCGCGTCGGAAAACAGCGTAGTGATCCCGTGACTCCCCTAATACGGGCCCTCGTCTATTTATCTAGAGGCTCATGAAGAAATCTAATTTCAAAATCCACTTTGGAAAAGAAATTAAAGATAAGAACAACATAATCATTCTCAAAAAAGCTGAGTATTTCTCAATCCAGCGCGAAGTACTCTTAATACTTTATACGATTTTGATTTTCTAAAGATACTACAAGTAATAAGAGGATATCCGAGACGCCACTGATGATGTCTCTGACACGTACTGCGTCAACAATATTTGATTGCATAAGGGATCACGAGACCGGGGGTTCAGATCATTATCCTAGACCTCCAAAATTTTGATTTGTTCATCACTAGCCACATTTACCATCTTCACCATCACCATCATTATCATCAACATCAACAGTAACAAGCGTAACACCACCACCACCACCATCATCACCATCATCATCACAACCACCACCACAATCATCATCACAAACACCATTACCATCATTACCACCATTACCATCAGGATCATCACCACTAGCAGTACGATCATATTCAAATCAATCAACAAGGTATTTGTTCTTAAATCAAAGAAAACAAGCAATACATGTTTATGTTGAGTTGTTTAGCGGGTATTGAAATTCATGGTTTGATTATCATGATACTAGCAGTTAGCGGCAAAGGTCCTGGTATTGGAGATTATCAAGTAGCTATTCCTACCAACTTACTTTTTAACGATACTCCTGTTCCTAATGATGTACCTGCTAATTTCTATATAGATTTATTTACGTTGATAATAGTCAAATATTTTTATCAAAAAAGTTTCTCTATATCAAAATTGATCCCTTTGAAATCGGCGATTGGGCGACATGACGTTTTAGGTCACTACTATTTTCATTATTTCCAAATCACGTGTTTTATAGTCATGTGATATAATACGTTACGTAAAAGTCGCGTTAAATATAGAATTATAGTTTTTCGTTTATAAGATCTATCTCAGTTCCGATCAAAATGGAAAAGATCGAGGTATAATAATATATATATTTATTCATACAATTGTAAAGTTTTCTTGCCACTAGATTTATTTGCGAAATTATCCTTTTTAAAACGTCAACGGAACAATAATCATTAATGATGATGATGACGTAGAAATTCTGGATGAAAGTGGCGACAACGTGGAGACAATTGATATCTAGACTGACCCTAACCCTAACCCTAACTAACTCCTGTATTTTTTACTTCCGAACATGTAATACAATCAATAAAAAAAACTTCAAATCAAAGATGATTTCGATCTCTCTCTTTTAAACCATCGTGTGTGTAAAAAAAAAATGTAGTCATGTCTGTACCCACCAACTCACCAACACGGACGCAACTCATTACAAGGAATGTATTAATCTCCTTCTCACCAGCTTCCATAGCAAGAAAAAATCTTTGACCTGATGAATTCACGATCAAATATTTCAAATATGAGGAATCATAGTTACCTTTTAAGATATTATACGATGGGTTCAGACCGCTTAATATAGAGTTCCTAGGAAAAGGCGTATAAAGAGCAGTATTAGAAGAGGTATGCAAAAGCTATAAAATTTCATATACCATCAGCATCACTATTGTATAATTTAAACGAAGCTTTAACATCAACATACGCTTCATGGAAGTAGGACTTATTGAACTTGCGACCCAGAGGATCAGGTAATATTTCTTGAAATAAAATATATACATTAAATCATCCTAAAACTTTATCTATTATTTTTATCGTTGATTATATTAATAGTCGCTCTAAGGAGGTTGGCTTGACCAATATTATCTCGCAGCTTATTTATGAGTAATGAATTTGTAGATATTTTGCAGAACTGAAACATTGAAAAATAAAGTGAAGAAAATTAGATATTTCTCAGCGTGTAAATTTTTGTAATTTTTCCAGATCAAATGAGAAATTTACATAATATTATTTTTGTAATTAAAAAGTCAATTTTTAAAATAAAGGTAGCATTTATGAAAAGTAAACGCGTTCGAGCAGATGTATAATAATATTATTATTTTCAATCCTTGGTCATAAGGAAGGAACCCTCATAAAGGATTTATTGGCAGAAATTTAATTGGTATGTACATTTTTATTTAAAGTTGAATTTAAATGGTTTTTTTCTTAAAAATATATACAATCTATCTAGGCATATAAAATTTTTCAAAAAATGAAATGGCATAACACGCGTCCTATTTATACTACATGTTATTAAGTGTAAATTCCTTAACGACGCCCAATTTAACGTAATTATTAATTATTTCAATAATTTCCTCATTAATCTTAAAACTAAATTCTTCCATAGTAAGAGAAAGTGATCTTCGTGGTGTACGATTATTCCAATTAATAAAGAAAAGATTCATCTCTTCTGGACTTAATTCTGAACGCACATTAAGCGCGTTACCTATGTAACGTATTTTTAATTTTTGAAAATTTTTTGGTGAAAATCTCGCAATGATATCAAACAATTCATTCTCCAAATGAAACTTCTTATACCATCCGTATTCACACACGAATTTAATACTTTCCAACTTTTCACACCTATCAAATATTAACTTTAATATATCGAATTCATCATCGACGATGATGGTTGAGAATGATTTTAAATTGGGGCAATATTTAGCCACGGAGGAATTTATTGAATTATTACTATATTCAAGAGAAATGTCGATCAAGTGATTCCCATTATTTTCCAAGAACCTATCCAAGTATACGCTCTTTGGAAATTTATATTGAAATTTTAGGGTTCTTAATTTTGGTATCTTAACGTGTTGAAATTCTTGAAAGGATTCATGGATGTCATAAAATTCGAAGAACACGAGTTCTCGTAAATTTGTGAAATTTGTAAGGAACAACAAAGATTTATTGTCCTCCACATTAATATCTATCCTACTTATAGAATTTAAATGTTTTGTTAAAGAAGGTAAAATTTCTTTTAAACCCTTATTATTTTGCCATAAACGAAGGCACATCAAATGATTTTGGGCGGAAATCAAGTTAGTTACCCCCGTAGAAATTACTCTACGAAGCCTAATTTCCAAGAATCGAATCTTGTGACAAAATTGTGAAAGTTGAAAGAAAAACTCGGAATGAACGTCCGAACAACATCTAAGTTCCGTTAGATTCTTAAAACAATCGGTGGCCCCGGGATAAACGGTAAACGTGATATTCGGAACGTAATAAGTTAAGGAGGAACTAGAATAATAATTTAATTCTCTCAAAGAGATTTGATTCATAAACATTTTGAAAACTTCTTGAGTCACAACGGTTATCAAGTATTTACTGGTGATGGGACGATTATTCTTGGGACTTTCAGAGATAAGGGGAAATGCATGATGAAAATTCTTAACCAATTGATGATCTTTGAGGTAGGGATCATTTTTGACAATTTGAATGTATTTAACGAGACGACGCTTAATGATTTGATAATCCTTAATAAGTTGAACGCGATCTGTATTAGATAAGTTCTTACTAAGCAGTCGATTTTTAATAATTTTGTAATTTTGAATTACATTATGATCGTGAAGGATGACTTCAATCGTCCTGGAAATTTCATTTATTGATAATGATTTAACGAAAGAAACGTAATTAAATAAAGGAGGGTTTGAATTTAGAGATGGAAGAATAATTTCATTCTTGAATAAAATTTCTTTTGAATCATCGGGAAGGCATTTAATTAAAGTATTGTAATTAAACACATTCCTCCATAAAAGTTGAACGGAAGTTTCACACCAACGTCGATTAACGAATAAGCATGTGTACAAGGTGAATTTATCCTTTTCCAAGTACTTAAAGATTTCATATAAACAATCATCAGTGAGTAGTTGAAAAGACATTTTGCTTAAAGCAAAAGATAAAGGAAAAAGGGAGAGAAAAGGAAAAGGAAAAGGAAAGGGGGCGGGGGATGGAAAAGTTTTAGTACACTTTGCGTTTTAAAAATTTAAAAAATTTTTAAAAATGTGAAAATCCGTCATTAAAGAAAAAAAAAAGAAAGAAAAAAAAAAAAAATGTCAATCATGGAAGCTTTAATAAAAAATCGTTGTGACACATCAGATGTCAAATTAACGAGAAAATTCAAACTTTTTTTAAGTTCCGCTTACGTAACCACAAATTAAATCACACTAAAAGTAGTTCCTTGACTAATCGGGAAGAAGGTTAAAAAACTGAAACAAAGACAAAATTAAAAATTATTATCAATATGCAGACTTATCTATCTTAATTAAGAAATTTGTACGAACGTTAATTTTTTTTTTTTTTGGACGAAATAAAGATCACCAATATATTCAGATAAGAAATATCTTTAATGGTTTTTTTTCGAATGCATTCTGGATATAGGAAATGATTAAGATCATTAAGATCAATTATTATCTCATGCTTAATCTTTGACATGGCAATGAGATCTCATATCCTAATATTATACAAAATAAATTTCATCAATGAAAAAGTTTCTACAGGGATTATTGGGAGATTTCCGTTAACCCTCAGTCCACGCGATCTTCTATAATACCTACAAATCCTTTATAAACGAATTCTCTCACCACTAATGATGTCATTTAGTTTATAACGGACGTCTCTGAATTATTTTTAAGACGCTTAAAAAAGTTGCAAAAAAAAAAAATGAATGGATTGTATTATCCACTTGTCTGAAGAAATGGTTTCCAGACAATTCAAAATTTTTGGGATCTATTTTTTACAATAACCGTTAATAAAGGATCATTAACCATTCATAAAGCAATGTTGAACATTGTTGAACATTGTCGAACATTGGCTCAAACGTTCCTCACCAAAAGATTCCCAGAAAATTGATTATAAAAATCGTATATTCAAAATCGAACCTCATTTAAATGCCTGAACACTCGACATATGTTCAATATATCATATGAATGATATTTAAAAAAACTTTTCTCGCTTTTCGATCACGACAAAAGATAATTTTATGCTTGGTACAATACAGACACTACATTAGGAATAGTATGGGCAATATCATCTCGAAAAATTCTTTTAGGAAATACTGGCCACACATCCTTCCTCCAAACTTTGAACCGGTACTTACAAATCTTAGCTTTCACGTTTTCTTATTATTATTCTCCTTTTTCAAAATATATGTTTTTTATATTACATTTTTTTTTATGCAAAGAATTGTTCCCTAGAGATATTCACTTTCTTTCGACCATATGTTCACGGCCGCAATTATTGAAAATAGGAGATATTGAAAAATTGTTAGAACAAGCGTATAGAGTAATTACTTAAACAAAAGTTTTCTAATCGTGGAAATAAATGTTAGAAGGTTTTGTTAATATTAACTATTTTATTTGATATATCTTGTAATTTCAAAAATGTCTGAAATTTGTTTATCATCCCAGAATATTCACAGATTCGAATTTATTTTTTTTAAAAAAAAAATGAATCACATATTCTTTATAATTTATCCAAAAAGTGACTATAAAGGCAGCTTCTGAGAAATAAAGTTTTCAAAAGATCAAACATCTTGAAAAATCTTGTAAATTTTGAAGTATTCCCAATTTATTATACAAAACAGCGTCAAAGTATTGTTTCAGATATTTAAGAGAAATAAAATATACTTTTTTTTTAAAAAAAAATAAAAAGTCGCGGTGATAGCTTTTATTAAATTTTCCAAGAACAGATCTTACTCTACAATGATTGTGTAGATCACGTGAATTGAATCAATTATTAATCACATGATAAGTAAAATCATGATAATAAACTTCGACTCATCAATGCTACGGAGAACAGCCTTGCTCTAGTAAGGCCGGAATTTACTCGTTTGAGCAGAGACTTCGTAGTTATATCACCTCCAGAATCAAATAAATTTGCAGCATGACACTTGGACAAAACATTTATAGCAACAATTTTGGACGACTTCAAGGAAGTATTCTATCCTCAACTTTACTTTCTGTTCTTAGGGTATCGTGTCAGGTTACGCCCTGAACTGCTGATATAGTGTCGCCTTTATCTCATGTTTGCGCCTCCTTGATAAGCTGTTCTTAGTAAAACATGAAATATTTTTTTTTTCCAAATTTGAAAATAAGGTGGTCGTGATTTGATTGGCCTTGTGTCCGCAAAAAAAAAAACAAACATATATGAAATATTCAAACGAGATTTCGGAGAGCAATTGAAGAAACTGCTACAATTTCGATTACAAGCGAGTATAATTCACCCAGTTTTGTGGATTCTGCACAGATATGACCGACACAAATTTTTGTAATACCATACAGGCCAAAACGATTAATGATTCATCTATGAATAAGAAAAATAGAAGTAAAATTTTCCGATGTTTCCGAAATTATCAACGTGGAAACTTTGACAGATTACGCAAACTGATCCATCAAATCAGCAAAAGAGTAAGTGCTTAATAAATACATGTTCCCTTTGTTTTTGGAGAGTTACTAATCAATTTCGCTATTTAGACCAATCTTGTGATGGAGATTCAAATAATGTGCAAAGTTTGATTCTCATCTTTTGTTTCTAACTGGACAATGTTCAGATCCGTATTTTTGGAGAAATGGTTAATAATAAATGGGATCATTTGTGAACTTTGGAACATAATGAAGCATTTTGAAGAGTCGAATTAGAAGAAACTGATTTATTTGATGATGAAACCCCAAAATAAAACAACTATTTGCTTTGTTGAAGAGAGAGGACTAAACGTGTGATTCATTTAGAATTAATTTGATACACTTGATACATTCCAGCTTGGATCACACAAAGCTTCTAATACTGCATTCTTTACGAGATATTTACTTAATGGAATTCCACAACGAAAAAAAGCTTCAAAAGGGATATAGATATTTCATCAAAAGATACATATTTGCGTGTTTGATAATATTCTTGATAGGCAATCGTAAGTTTATTATCTTACTTGAGTACTTGTCATTAATTATTTCTCAAATGGTTTCCGTGTCAACTCGAAATCGACAAAGTGAATTCACCAATTCCCAGATGTGGAGATTCACGGTAAAGTAGATTTAAGAACCTTATTATATTCTTTTTTTTGTTTGTTTACTAACAGATTACTTTATATGGAGACATTATCTGGGAAATATTTACCATATGGGCCCTTTAGCAATAGAAAGGGAACAGTAAGAAATTACCAAATTACTCTTATATGCAAATATGATTTTCAGGTCGAGATGTATTCAGATTCTATTACAAAGGTCCCATATGGTCGAGAATTTTCCTATGTTTGTAAAATAGAGGATTACACAAGTTTTAAAATTACGAACAAAAGTCTTGTCAAAGCAATCACAGCCGAAGGTGGTAGTGGTTTTATATTCGTGCTGTACTTATCAGATTGTGGGAGGTGGATTCTAAGCTGGGAAATTTCGATATCCCTACTTCTTATGAAGAAATTTGAAGGTTGGTAACATCCCTCCTCTGTAAATTTGGAGTTATGATTTTACGCTTACTATATCATTTATGACATGCAGAAATTATTACGTTCAACAAATTTCTAGGTTTGAACTTATAATGGAAATGGTAGAGAAAGTAGGTTAATTCCCGGAAAAGTTAAAATAATAAGCGGTATGAAACGACTGACACCTGATACTCGTTCATATTGTAATTAATCTATTTAAATTGTTGTTTGTTTTTTTTATATTTTTTTATACATTCATAAAACTCATTTTTTTAATGCACAATTAATCATTTTCCTTCGATTATTAGGAGATCGTCACGTGATACGATTTGTTGAAACAACTTCCGTCATACAATATTTATTTACCCACCATCACGAGAAAAAAGCATTAGGTTAAATAGTTCAATTTTGATCGTTCAGTGCTTTGAGGTGGATAATTATTGGCTGATGAAAATTGTGAACTGGCCTATTACGGCTTTCCTGATAATCTTGATTATTATTTAAACTACTAGTATTTTTTTTTTTCTTCTAAAAAAAAAAAAAAAATTTCATTCTAAAAAAAAAAGTCCAAAAACATATATCTTCGTCTCTGTCTCCAAAATTTTAATAATAAAACTCGAATAATTTATTATTTCTTTCACCATAATATGAAAATATTGGTGAACAAATATTATTACGAAGATAAATGGCAACGGCAACAGCAACAACAAAGTATTGATATTAATAATTTAATGGATGAGAAAAGAGAAGAACTCAACTTATTCACAAGAAACTGTCGCTGCATATGCATATGCTTAACTCATTCTCAAGAGGGACCTCCACCCTATCGATCGGCGAAACGGGAATTGATATAGAAAGAGCCGCCTTCTAAAGCAAATATCCATGAAAGCTGTTTGGTATGTCCTGGAAATCTCTTGTGTGAATGGTCGGATTTGAATTTTTCTAAAATTGGAGGGGAATTTGTAACTTGATTAGTATAGTGTTTATATTGTTACTTTTTGTTTTTAAGGGATCTAAAAATTATTTTTTCGTTTGTTATTTTTTATTTTTTTTTTTTTTTTGTAATTATATTATAAATCTAGTAGTATATTGTAATTTAATAAATATTATATTTCTAATAACCATGAATCTCGTTAATTCTGTGTCTGCCTGAACTTAATTGTTTACAAAACATTTTCACACGTGTATTAATAAATGATTCTTAAATGCATTACTAAAAATTAATTTTAATCTTATTAATTTTTAAAAAATGGCTACCATCGAAGAAGTCACAAAACAATGGAAAGAGAGAAAGAATACGAAGTAATGTGGATTTTAAGAGGTTAGATTGATTTGAAGAATGATTCGAGAAAGGATTGACGATAAATATTTGAAAAAAAGGAAAGAAATGGGTAGGTTTTTTTGAGATTTCAGTAAAATGAGTAAAAAAAAAAAATATATAATTATTTTCTTTTCATTTCCATTTCGATTTATTGTTTTGGGAATCTTACAACTTGCTTTTTTTCTTTCTTTCTTTATGAATTTTTATAACCCGAAGATGGTTAAGATGCATATATTAAAAGAAAGTTCCTTAGGTATTCACTGAACTGAAGATAGGTTCTTTATAACATAAAAATTAGTATAAATAAATTTTATCAACAATTGTCTTGATTTTATTAGTAAATCTGATAAATTTTTTTGATTTTAGACAATTAAAAGGTTAATATAGTTAAAATTATATTATGTTACATTATTTTTATAATTTAAAATATTGTAAATATTCAAAACTATTATTTTGATGCTTAATAATTAGAATTTAACAAGCTTAACATCCAAAAAAATTATCTCTCTATAAAATTTCCTAAAAACACAATATATAATAACAATTAAATATATGGGAAATTCTAGTTCTTAAGCTAATTTTGAGCATATGACTGTTGAAACTGGTAGAAACTGATAGATCAGACAAAACTGACAGATTGGACAAACCTAATAAAACTGTAAATTATGGCATAGCTATTATTATTATTTCTATTATTATTATTACATTTAATATTATTAATATATATTAGTATTATTAGTATTATTAGTAATGTCAATAGTATCCTAAATATAACTATTATCAGTGATTTTTTTTAATTGTGTTTTCTTATATAAAGGCCATGAAAATGCATTGAAAAAAAGACAGATTTTAACATTAAATATAATTTACAATCATAATAATAATAAACTTTAATAACATTTTACAAATATAAAACTTATAATTTTATTTTTATTAACCAAATGAACTTCCTAACTAATATTATATTATATTGACTGAATTTAAATCATAGCTAAGCTATTGTCTCTCTAACTTTAAATTATAATTAACTTATTCAACAAAAAGAATAATGTTAATAAGTGATGATTTTTGTTAAATTACTATTAATTATATACATAACATATCGCTAATGAATTAGCAAACTATATAAAATTTGAAAAACTAAGTAACAAATTATACTTTTGAATTAATTATCTCTATAGACATTAAATAATTTAAAATTATAGTATACCTTATTTAATTCAAAATAATTATCTCTATCGAAAAGATAAAAGAAACTTTAGAAATTATTAAAAATAATTAGAATATATAAAATAGAAGTGATATTATATATAATGTATAATGATTTAACTGCTAGATATTTTGTTACTGAAATTATGTTTGAAAAAATAGAAAAAGATACTAATAACCTCAATTATATGAAAATATTTATACATATATTAAAAATTATAATAAATATCAACAAAGAGAAAAATTAAAAAAAGCATGAAAACTTATATCTTATTTTAATTTAAGCTTCTTTTTATTAAGTAGGATTGATTTTATAGGACTATTACCTATACCAAAAGGAAAACAAGTAAATTATTGTAATTATAGATTACTTTCAAAATGACTTAAGATGAGAGTTATTACTAAAGATATTACTTTTTAAGTAGCTTAATTTATTTACAAAAAATAATTTGTAGGTATAGATGCCTTATAAAAATGGTGTTACAATTAGTTGCAATCATGTGATGCTTATTTATCACTGGTTGCAACTAGTTGCAGTATCATCTTTAATGCCTTAGAAAAATATTAACTGATTGTAAGACTTATTTCAACAAGAAAAAGGTAGATAAATTTATAGAATAATTCAAAATATAATATCTTCTTTCTATCTCTTATCATCCTCAAATTAATAAATTAGTAGAAAGATTTAATAGAACTCTTAGTGAATATTTAGTCAAGATTGCACAGAAAATCTTCAATTAAAATATGCAAATTATTTTAATTTTATTTGTTTATCAAATTTCAAAGCAATCAAAACAAAAATTTCTTTCTTTTATTAACTTATGAAAAAGAAACAGTTACCCCTTAATAAACTAATTGAAAAATATATGACTCTAAATCAATATATAGAATCTTTAATAGATAATTTACTACAAATGTTAAAAATCAGATAGAAAAATCACAAGCTAATTAGAAAAAATAATATAATTATAATCTAAATAAAATTTTCATTTTAAAATTAAAAACAAGTTTATATATTATATTGTAGTTAAGGAAAAATAATAGTTTAAAAAATTATAATCAAAGTGAAAAAGATTATACTATATATATCAAATATTACTAAATAGTTTTTATAAAATAAGAAAAATAAATAAGAAAATTTACAAATTTTTATTAATAACGATTTTTTAAAATTATATTATGATCATTATAATTAAAATTTTAAATAGTTATATAATTTATTTTATTTATTTATTTATTTATTATTTTTTTTTATTATATTATTAAAAAATTTCAAAATTAATTTATTGTAAAATATCTTTAAAAATACTCTTTCTTTTTTTATTACAAATAGAATTTCAAAGAAATTTTAACTTACTTATAGAATACTAAAAAGAGTTTTAATTTTTAGAGACTAAGTACTAATAATGATAAATGCTATTATTTAAAATAACTTTTTGAAAAGAAATTTCTATTTTTATACAATAAACTTATTATATTAATAAGATATTATTATCTTATTTTAGTACAAATTTATTTTCTCTTTGAATTTTAAAAAGTAAAATAAATTCAATAAACAAGATTTCTAATCTATTAGAAATTTATTTTATAAAATAAATAGATTATTTATCTTTATAAGATGAAACAATATTAAATTTAATAATAGAAATTAAAACCAGTAAAAATTGCAAACTGAATAAAATCAATAAATTAGGCAAATCTGACAAAACTGATAAAACTATCAATTATGACATAGCTATTATTATTATTTTTCTATTATTATTATTATTATATTTAATATTATTAGTATATATATTAGATAATAAGAATTATTATAATGTTTGAAATGTTAATTTACAGTCTGATGCAAAAGTCTTTAGACGATCAGTGATAAAATTAAAAGTCACATAGATCAGCCAATT